TCTAAACGTTCAGCTCTTTCTCATAAATCTAAACGTTCAGCTCTTTCAGCACAATCCTGTTAAGACTTTTGGTTTTGGTTCAACTTTAGCTTGTTGAAATATTTAGCCTTTTCTGCCACTTTCTTCTCACAGAAAATGAACTGAGCTCATTCACATTAGATCTGTTTTCAACCTTTTACTGTTCCTTTCACATTTTGTTCTGGTTCAGCTTCTTTCAGCTTGTGCAAATCAAAACAAAATTCAGCTACTTTCAGCTGTTTTTATTTCAGCTGTTTAGTGCTCCTTTCAGATTATTTCTAACTACAACATTTTTCGAGCTTCTTCTAACTTCTTTCTGCTAATTTCAGCTTGATGTGCTCCTTTCAGCTTATTTCTGCAAGTTTCAGCTTTTTCTGCAATTTCAGCTACTATTTAGCTGTTTTATGCTAATTTTAGCTGTGTTTCAGCTAATGCCTCATTTTTTGCACACATTTATACTTTTTTCAGCTTAATTCAGCAAAAATGTCCTCTACACTGCCTTCTGATAATTTAAGTTTCTTTCTGCCTCTTTAGCTACTTTTCAGCAGTGTTTTCCTAATTTCAGCTTTTTCAAAGAAAATTTCAACTTTTTTTTACTAATTTCTGCTTCTTTCAGCCTAATTGGGCAAGAATGTGTTCTTGCTGCTTTCTTTTGGTAATTTAGACTTGTTCTACGTTTTCATCTAACATTTGATTATTTTTATAGCTAATTTCAGCTGTTTTCAGATAAATTAATTTTTTTTGTGGTAATTTCTGCTACTTTCAGCTTAATAATGACTTTATTCTAATTTCAGCTTGTTATGCTCCTTTCAGCTTTTTTCTGCTATTTTCACAGTTTTCTGCTATTTCATCTAATATTTAGCTGTTTTTATGCTAATTTTAGCTTTTTCATCGAATTCCATTTTTTTTTGCACTCATTTCAGCTGTTTTAAGCCTAACTGGGAAAAAATGTGCTCTCTTGACTTCCTTCTGGTAGTTTAAGCTTCTTTCTGATTTTTCAGGAACTTTTCAGCTGTTTTTTGCTCATTTCCGCTTTTTTAGTTATTTTCTCAATTTTTGTGGTAATTTCTTCTTATTTAAACATAATTCGGCAAATTTGTGTTCTTTCTCCTTTCTTCTGCTAATTTTGGCTTGTTCATCCATTTCTGCAACATTTTAGCCTGTGTTTTTGGGCTAATTTCAGCTGTTTTTCATCAAGTTCTTCTGCATTAACTGTTCACACTGCATTTTCTCAGGAAATGCAATTTCTGTAGTTTTTATGGTTTAACTCATAGAAGGGGCTTAAGCTACCACAAGAATATGTGTATTATTTATTTTTTGTTTGTTTGACTACATCCTTCAAGAATAAACTTTTATTTTATACATATTTTGACACAGAACCCGGTAATAATTATACGCTTTTAAAACATTAAATTGTTTGGGACCAGATTACCAGAAACTACTGATGAAGAGGCGCCTCGGTCACCCAGAGAGAGCACATTTAATTGAGATATTTTCTGTAATTTCTTTGCGTTAAACTCATCTAGATGTTTGTTGTGTGGGATACGAGAAACCGTCTGGAAATCTGTTTTTATGGAGACGTTTATTTCCTCTAAATTTGAGTCTAGAGTAAACTGTTGGCCTGCTCTTCCCGTAAACACGAAACTGTTTGAAGAAGAAAGTAAACATCTCGGCACAAACGTCTCAGGAATTAAAACTTTGCAGGTGTCTTTTAGAGTATCACAAGTGCGACAATTTGTTAAAATTTCCCCATAAAAATAGCTTTTACCTAAAATAATTATAATAAAGAAAAGTTTTAGAAAAGTTCATGTGACGGATCTAAAAAAATGTATTGAGCATGCATCAGGATATTTCATGTGACAGAGTTAAAAGAAGTCACAAATTAAAAGTTTTTCTGTAAACTTGACGTGTAAAGATTTTATTTTAGCTATTTCTGTCGTGTCAGATGTTTGAAGAGGGGCTCTGTGGAAATGTTATGAACAATCAATATCTTACCTGTCGTAGATAGCTCTTCGAACGCTCTCAGCCTGGAGAAGCAGGGCTTAAAGCTGGAAACACACGCCACACTGAGGTGCGTCTGTTAACGCCACTAAAATATCTAAATCACATCGAGCTGAAGTTCACTGCAACAACTCAAATCAACTTTACAAATATTAGTTTGGTATTTTATTTTTTTTTATCTAAGCAACCGTTTCTCAACCACTACAATGAAACAAAAAGAACAACTGTCAATAAAAGAATGAAGGAAGTGCTGCTACGGGAACCCGGATGTTGGCGTGGGAAACGAGTCCACGTGAAAAACGACCTTTTCTTGAGCGGTGACGCTTCAGAACCGAACAGCGTTGAGAAAGATTGCCTGGCTCCGCGGGACAGAGTGGTGTCAGGGTCATAAATGAGTATAACAAAGTATCATCCCATGTTTACAATTAATTCTGACTGAGCGAGTTTATGAACATAAAGCAGGGGTAAGGAGGTGTTTTACTGTCCTATAAAACCGCTCCAGAGCAAATGCTAATTTATAATCCTTTACATTACCAACAGTTTGTAGCAGCTGTTAGATGGTTAATAAAGCTTACATGGTATTCTTATATTTCTCCCAGCTGTGGAAAAAAATCAAATAAAACTGGAGTTGTTTTAAACCCACTTGAGCTAGCTGTTAGCATATTAATCAGGTTATTCAAAAAGCCATCAGCAACAGGTAAGATATTATTTGTTCATAACAACTTTATACAGAACCCCATTTTAAAGAGTGGAAGTTTTTCTTTAAGGCGTTTGTTTAATAAAACCTGCTTCCGTTAGAAAACGTCTGATTGTTTTGCAGCTCGATGAGTTTTAATCGAGCCACGTCCTTAGTTTTCTTAACGACTCCGTGGTGAACTAGTCGTGTTGCCTCTTCGTTCACCCCGTCCTTTTATTATTTAAACCTTTATGATTTTTTTCTGATTACTAACATCATTTCAGCACAAGGCATCCGTCTCAGAGAGAACACGCTCTCCGCACTCCTTTCATTAACCCCGCAGTCCTCCCATCGTCCACACACACTTAAACTGGACGTTTAAATGAACCCTTTGAAGCTTTATGTGTGTAACAAACAGCACCGAGCTGATAAGGTTTAATTATTATTGTGGCGCTTTTGCGCAGCTATAAAAAGCGCGAATAAAACAGCTGCTGAAGCGTGCCGTGCGCACCGAGCTGCACAGGCCACGAGGAGCTACAAAGAAAAAGAGTTTGACTTCAAAATAAATTTTAAAAAAAGGCCTTTGATGTGAGAGTTGATGATTTGGAAAACAGCCTCCATCCTCCGGCAGGTCCTGCCTCCTCTTTACGGCCCGGTCTTAATAAAACCACATTTGGCTCGGAGTGCTTCGGCTGGCACAGCTGGCACGGCTCCCGGGGAAACGCCACAAGTTAATCTACGATGGCCGACGTTGCGACTCGAACCGTTTAAACAGCCTGCTTCTCTGGCTGTTTGGAGGTTTATGTGTCCGACTGAACGGCTGGCTGCCTGCGTGTCGTTTTTATCGAGAACGTAAAAAAAAAAAAGTAGCAGCTGATGAGAAGCTGAGCAGTCTGGATCTGGAGCCAACACTGGAGGTGCGCTCAGATGTGTTAAAATGCAGACAGGACAGCTCTTTGTCATTTAATGGCTTTAAACGCGGGGGTTATTACGCTAACACAACCTGCAGGTAACGGGCTTTTAGCTGGTTTCTGTGATCCACCTGCGCAGGAGGAGGAGGACAAGCCCAGCCTGGACGACGACGTCCTGCTGGAGGAGGACCTGGAGGCAGGCTACGAGGCCGAGGAGGACGAGGACAACGACGAGCTGTATGAGGAAGAGGAGGAAGAAGAGGAAGAGGAGGAGGAGGCCAAAGAGAGCACCAAGATGAAGATTCTGCGTCTGGTGGCGGAGGTGGCTTCCAAGGTGAAGGAGGTCATTGGGAACCTGATCACCACCGCGGGGAAAGTGGTGGTCACCGTCCTGCTGGGCATGACAGGTGAGACTTTTTTTTTCCTTGTTTGTTTTGGGTGGGCGATGATGTTTTTGCTTGTATGAGTGCCTGTCTTTGTGTGTCTGTTAGCAAAATATCTCATGAACCACTGGATGGATTTGAAAGAAACTTGCAGAAAGTAATAAATGGTTATGCATCTACAACTACTTAATAGTTTGAGTCAACCTGATTCAAGATGGCCGACACAGCCAGCTGACACGCAAAATTACAAAAATGGCTTTAATTCAGCCAATTGTACAGATTTTGAAAGCTACGGTTTCACTCAAAACTGGTGTTGTGTAAACGAGGTCAAAATGGAAAAACATTTATCAGTGCCAGCGTTTTTGCCTAAAATGAACATTTAGGACCATCCATCCATCCATACATCCATCCATCCATCCATACATATATCCATCCATCCATACATACATACATACATACATACATACATACATCCATACCTACATCCATCCATCCATACATACATACACACATACATACATCCATACATACATACATACATACATACATACATACATACATACATACAT